TTCCTTTAAATTGTGGGGGAATTTAAAGATTTTTATTCCCCATACGGAATTGTATTCTGGAATTGCCAGAAGACAGAGGGAGAGAGGGGGAGGGAGGGGTCTTTTTAATTAATTTTTATGTTTGGTTTGTAAATTCAATTCCCATTTTAATGAAGGTTTTTTTTTAATTTTAGCTATGTATTTACCCTCAGCCATATAGCTACAGAGGGTATTATTATTTGCTACTACCAAAACGTGCCTCATCGAAATTACGGTTTTAGATCCAAGGTCTCTTTGGAGCAAATCCATTGCAGGGCATTTGGAGTCGATCTTGGGGTGTCCGAACACTCTGGTATGTGTGTTTGGTGCGTACTCTGTCGAAGAAAGTATCCGATTTGGTCCAAACTTGGTATATCGTAATATTATTATGAAACCTAGAGCAAGTTCGGAGATGGACACTATCGATCCACTCTTTCTGGTAACTCCCCCACATAATGACATAATTTTCAAAGAAAAAAGAATTACCTCACAGAACAAGAATGGATCATTAAATTTTGGTCAAATTTGGCAAATCCAAATATTTAAATCAATTCTAGGTCAGGAGCGAAAATGAGAAATATCTGCCCACTGCGTCAAGTACCTCCCCCACAAAGGGTCAAATTTTTGAATATTTATAACCCTTATAAAATGTGAAATAAGCATCCGATTGTCTTCAAATTTCACACATCTCAATATTTTTAACAATACAAGATCTGGTGTGAAGATAATAGATATCGGCCCACAGCTTCTGGTACCTCCCCCACAACATGTCAAAATTTTGCATAACCATGAAGCTCATAAAATGGAAAATGAGCAACCGATTGCTTTCAAAATCAGGACATTTCAATTCGAAAAATAATGTGAAGATGGAATATATAGGACAACTCCTTCTTGTACCTCCCCCGCAACGGGTCAAAATTGTAGCTCTCATAAAACGAGAAATAATTAACCGATACTCTTTAAATTTCGCTCATCGCAATATTTTTATTAACAAAAGATATGGTGTTAAGATGGAATATATCGGTTCACTCCTTCCGATACCTCCCCCACAAAGTGGTCGAAATTTTGAAAAAACATGAAGGTCATAAAACACTAAATTAGGATCCGATTCCTTTCAAACTCGGCCCATCCCAATATTTATATCAACACAACATCTGATGTGAAGATGGAATATATCGGTACACTCCTTCTGGTACCTCCCCCAACAACGGGTCAAAATTTTGAAAAATTAAAACTCTCATAAAATGTGAAATTACTAATAGATTATCTTAAAATTTCGCTCATCGCAATATTTTTATTAACGCAAAATCTGGTTTGAATATGGGATATATCGGTTCACTCCTTCCGATACCTCCCCCACAAAGTGGTCGAAATTTTGAAAAAACATGGAGGTCATAAAACACTAAATTCGCATCCGATTCCTTTCGAACTCGGTCCATCCCAATTTTTTTTTATCAACACCACATCTGATATAAAGATGAAATATATCGGGCCACCTCTTCTGGTACCTCCCCCACAACGGGTCAAAATTTTGAAAAATTATAACTGTCATAAAACACCAAATATGCATGGAATTCTTTTCAAATTTCGCTCATCGCAATATTTTTACTAATACAAGATATGGTGTGACGATGAAATATATCGGTCAACTCCTTCTGGTACCTCCCCCACAAAGGGTCAACATTTTTAATAATTATATCTCCCAGAAAAACGCCAAATATGCATGTGATTCTCTTCAAATCTCACACATTCCAATATTTCTACTAACACAAGATCTAGTGTGATAATCACAGATATCGGGCCACTCCTTCGGTTATCTCCCCCACAAGGGGTCAAAATTTAGAATAATCATATCTCTTATAAAATACGCATCCGATTCCTTTCAAACTTGGCACATCCCAATACTTTTTTTCAACACAAGGTCTGGTGTGATGATCATAGATATCGGACCACTCATTCTGGTACCTCCCCCACAACGGGTCAAAATTTTGAAAAATTATAACTCTCATAAAACACAACATATCCATGGGATCCTTTTCAAATTTCACACATCCCAATATTTTCCCAACCAAAACATTTTCTGAGAAGATGAAATATATCGGTCCACTCCTACCGGTACCTCCCCCACAAAGTGGTCAAAATTATGAATAACCAAAATGCTAATAAAATACGATATAATCATCCGATTTTCTTAAAATTTCACATAACCCAATATTTTTTCCAATAAAAGATCTGGTGTGAGTATGATAGGTATCGGCTCACCCCTTCTGGTATCTCCCCCACAAAGGATCTCAATTTTTAATACTTATTTGTCTCACAACTTACGAAACAAGTCGGCGATTTTTTTCAAACTTGGCAAATTGAAGTATTTTTCTCCAGCAGAGATCTGGCGTGAATATGGAATTTATCGCCCCAATCCTCCCCCAACGAAAAAAAATTTCATTAATATTTATTCTCACAAAACTTGAAAGAAATTTTCGATTTCCTAAAAATTTTACACATCCCAAAGTTTTTATCGGTATTAGATGAAGGGGAATGCTTCGGCCCACCATATCGGGTACCTTATGCATTTTTCAAAATTATCCAGATTTTATCACAAGAGAAGTAAATGGAAACGATATGGTTAAAATCTGACATCCAAATCCGGCTAATAATATTTATACTAGATTTAGTTCAAAAACGAAATGGATAATATTGGCCAACTTCTTCGAAATGACCCCCCATAAAGGGTCATCAGTTTTAATAATCATAAGCCAAGTCAAAATGGATTTTAATAAACGGACATTGGCTCAAGGTACCGATACTCTAAAATTCGTTTTTTATAAATTGCCATGGCATGCAATACTTTTCAAAAAAAAATTTAAAAATTTTGAAATATTCTTGTCTTTGCTTCCATCACCTTAATTTCCTTATGATTTTCAAAATTGCCCTCTTTTCTTCATTTTCGTAAATTTAATTACATTGCATACCTTGTCACAGGTTATTTATGCCTGTCATTCTTCATTAATATGTCATTTTCCTGTTCCTCCTCACTTTTGCCAGAAAAATACCCGGAGTCATTTAACCAAGAGAACAATTCCACTCAACATGTCTAAGGTTAGGTTGCGGCACCAATCATACCTGAGAAACTGCTTTCATTCCAAAAGGCAGAAGAACAACAACAACCTATAACACCACCAATTAGTTGTGAATTCCAAACACACACACACACACACACACACCCAGACGAACATGGAAATATTTTCACCACAATCAAAAAAACTTGGCAAGGATAATAATTCCTTAACTTCATTTTTTTTTTGTTCTGCAATTTCTTCTTCTTTCCGAAAATTTGCATAAAATTGGCAGGAGCAGATAACACAAGTGTGCTTGTGTGGATGAACGAGATGAATGTGTAAGTGGAAAACTTTCAAGACTCTTCCATACAAATACTACGAAATTTTATATGCCCATACTCGCTTTTCATCACAGACCCACACACACACACTCAAAGACACACGTGGGTATTTATGAGGATGAACATCATCAGCACATCGGGCAACACCTAATAAAGATATGAAATATGCCAGGAATGTGAATGTGTGTTTGTCAGGGTTTGAAGCGAAAGGAGAGGGGAAAGGAACGTATATCATTTTGAGGACCATTATATGCCAACAAAGACATTCCAAGTCAGTTTTATGTAGGATAGGGAATGGCTCTACTTCAAATGATCAATGATGATGACTATAGCTAAATTATGATTGATGTCTATTTTTCTTAAAGGGTTCACCTGATGATTTTTTCCTTAAAAAAATTCATCGGAGATGAATTTTTCTTTAACAAAGTTCAACGAAGATGAATTTTTCTTTAGAGAAATTCATCGAAAATTTCATCACCGATGAATTTTTCTTTAGAGAAGTTCATCGCTGATGAATTTTTCTTTAGAAAAGTTCATCGTAGATGATTTTTTTAGAAAAGTTAATCGTAGACGAATTTTTCTTTAGAAACATTTTTCTTTTTCCTTAGAAATGTTCATCGGGGATGAATTTTTCCATAGAAAAGTTCATCGGGGATGAATTTTTCTTTAGAAAAGTTCATCGGGGATGAATTTTTCTTTAGAAAAGTTCATCGGGGATGAATTTTTCTTTAGAAAAGTTCATCGGGGATGAATTTTTCTTTAGAAAAGTTCATCGGGGATGAATTTTTCTTTAGAAAAGTTCATCGGGGATGAATTTTTCTTTAGAAAAGTTCATCGGGGATGAATTTTTCTTTAGAAAAGTTCATCGGAGATGAAGTTTTCTTTAGAAAAGTTCATCGGAGATGAATTTTTCTTTAGAAAAGTTCATCGGAGATGAATTTTTCTTTAGAAAAGTTCATCGGAGATGAATTTTTCTTTAGAAAAGTTCATCGGAGATGAATTTTTCTTTAGAAAAGTTCATCGGAGATGAATTTTTCTTTAGAAAAGTTCATCGGAAATGAATTTTTCGTTAGAAAAGTTCATCGGAGATGAATTGTTCTTTAGAAAAGTTCATCGGAGATGAATTTTTCTTTAGAAAAGTTCATCTCGGATGAATTTTTCTTTAGAATTGTTCATCGCTAATGAATTTTTCTTTGGAAAAGTTAATCGAAGATGAATTTTTCTTCGAAGATTAATTTTTCTTTAGAAAAGTTAATCGGAAATGAATTTTTTTTAGAAAAGTTCTTCTTTAGAAAGGTTAATCGGAGAAAAATGTTTCTTTAGAAAAGTTCATCGCTGATGAATTTTTCTTTAGAAAAGTTCATCTCGGATGAATTTTTCTTTAGAATTGTTCATCGCTAATGAATTTTTCTTTGGAAAAGTTTATCTCGGATGAATTTTTCTTTAGATAAGTTCATGTCGGATGAATTTTTTTTTTTTTTTTGAATTTTTGCCAAAATTCTATTTTTTTTTCTTAAAAAATTACCCTTCCATTTTTTGGAAGAAATTAAAATTCATAAAAAAAACCCATTGACAAACTACTTACATATGACAGTCAGGCGGGCCGGCGGTGATGCCTGACGGGCACCACTTGCCACATTGGTGGCTATGCATACAAAATCGCCGGCATCGCTCTCTCGGCTAACCGCTTCGATATGTAAATCGGAACCGTTTTGATAGATGCGACTTGAATTTTGGATTAATTGACCTGGAAAGAGAAGTTTTTTTGGGGGGATTAGCAATTGGAGAAGTTGTTGTTGCTTTCCGGATAATTACCATTTAATGTCCATGAATAGATGAGGCCACGAGTGGGCGTGGCATGGCAATTAAAATCGGCCGTATCTCCCTCGGCAATGGACTGTGACTGGGGCAGAATCAGGAAACGTGATGATGTCTCGGCCAAAGAAGAGCAAAAAACTGCAAAGAAAAGGGAAAAAGAAGTTTGTCAATAAAAGAAAACGAAGAAGAAGAAAAAATAACATGTTTATCTCCCCTCTCTCTGTCCAATCCGGCACAAAGGACAATGAAATCAATATTTGCCCGGGCATGTATCGCTCTGCGTGTGTGTGTGTCTGTGTGGTTCTGATAAAAATAATAGTGCCGAACAAATCATTATTTTATGGAGCAATCACACGTCACACTGCCCAAGCCAACGCCAACTGGGCCATGCCGAAAGGTAAACATGGAGTCAGTGCTTGGCGTTGATTAAAAGCACAACGTCGCTCCGATGGAATGCCAAGGGAACTAAGTCACAAAACACAAACAAATGTAAAGAAAGTCCCCAGAAATTATTTTTTAACACAACCTCCACTTGGGCCATTTGGCATTTAATCCATCCATACAACCAGACTATGTACCGGAACCACACCGTATCGTTCGCTAGCTGCTTCGCCCCGAACGAAACGGAGAACGCAAAACATTAAATAAAAATCACAAAAACTACAGATTGAACTGTTCATGCATGAAGAATCGATTTTCGCCATTAACCATTAACAACAACAGCAACAACATCGACGGCATTTGTTCCAGGCAGCCAGCCAGCGAGCGAGCCAGTCAGCCAGCCAGTCATCTAGCTGGCATCAGCCAAAAGGGACCACTTTCATTAAACTAAACCCAAACATGTATTGCGTTCATACCCGCCACCGAACATCATCATCACCGGCATCGACATCAGCATCGCCATCGCCATCGTGATTCGAAGGTCTGACTTATTAAATGACAGCCAGATAGACAGAACGCCAGATAAACGGACACGGAGCCAGGCAGACAGACACAGCATCAATGGAGTTTCTCATGGAATTATTGCGTTACGTTCGGTTTTTTCTGCTCTCATGTGAGGAACATGGGCCGAAAGCCCGGTTTTCGGATATTGAGAGACGAGGTGGGGGTAAGAAGTTAGGGAAAACAACTTAACTGTTTTCTCTCCGATGAACTTTTTTAAAGAAAACTTAATCCCCGATGAATATTTTCTAAAGAAAAATTCATCTCCGATGAATATTTTCTAAAGAAAAATTCATCTCCGATGAATATTTTCTAAAGAAAAATTCATCTCCGATGAATATTTTCTAAAGAAAAATTCATCTCCGATGAATATTTTCTAAAGAAAAATTCATCTCCGATGAATATTTTCTAAAGAAAAATTCATCTCCGATGAATATTTTCTAAAGAAAAATTCATCTCCGATGAATATTTTCTAAAGAAAAATTCATCTCCGATGAATATTTTCTAAAGAAAAATTCATCTCCGATGAATATTTTCTAAAGAAAAATTCATCTCCGATGAATATTTTCTAAAGAAAAATTCATCTCCGATGAACCCTTCTATAGAAAAATTCATCTCCGATTAACTTTTCTTTGGAAAAAATTAATCTCCTCGATGAACTTTTCTATGGAGAAAAATTCATCTCCGATGAACTTTTCTATGGATAAAAATTCATCTCTCCGATGAACTTTCTATGGAGAAAAATTCATCTCCCCAATGAACTTTTCTATGGAGAAAAATTCATCTCCGATGGGCTTTTCTATGGAGAAAAAAAAATTATCTCCGATGAACTTTTCTATGGAGAAAAATTCATCTCCGATGAACTTTTCTATGGAGAAAAATTCATCTCCGATGAACTTTTCTATGGAGAAAAATTCATCTCTCCGATGAACTTTTCTATGGAGAAAAATTCATCTCCCCAATGAACATTTCTAAAGAAAAATTCATCGCCGATGAACTTTTCTATGGAGAAAAATTCATCGCCGATGAACTTTTATAGAGAAAAATTCATCGCCGATGAACTTTTCTATGGAGAAAAATTCATCGCCGATGAACTTTTCTATGGAGAAAAATTCATCTCTCCGATGAACTTTCCTATGGAGAAAAATTCATCGCCGATGAACTTTCCTATGGAGAAAAATTCATCTTCGATGAACTTTTCTATGGAAAAATTCATCTCCGATGAACGTTATTTTATTTATAATTTCCCCAACCTCATCATACCACCCCAGAGTTTGCCCCCAACCTTTCCAAATAACGACTTCTTCTTCCTCTGAAGGAATTTTTATGCTAACTCAGCAAAATTCCTTTTAACTTCATCTTCCAGCGAGTTGTGTGATAGTTTGTTGTCCCCCTTGCCGTTGTTGTTGTTCATCATCATCATTATCATAATTATCGGTTCTGTCAATCCCTCTTTATTTCAGACCGAAATCCGCAATTCCTAAGTTGTGCAAATGGCGAATTTGGGTTTGTCGTTACGTTTCCGATAAGCTTTGTCAGGACAGCCGGCAAACGAACACACAAATGCACTTTTGCGAACAAAGAGACAAGGAATTCCAAGGAATTGATGGCGAGCGGCAAGGGAAGAATGCTAATAATAGGGTTTGATAATGCTGACACATCAACTTTGATGTCAAAAATTGTTGCGAATCTTCCAACGCACAAACACACACACACATATGCCACAAATCCCCACACACACACACACACACATGTGGTCATCCCAAAGAGATAAAAGAGCGGACATGGGCTCTTCAAAGGGAAACCTGAAAAAAATACAAAACAATGAAGATAAGTGTTGTCCATCCATCCGTCCAGCCAGCCAGCCTGGCCCACGTAACGTTCGCCTGGCTGGATATTATCATCGGATAATTGGAACATTCTGTTGCCGTTGGACACTTGAATTCATCGGCTGTTTTACGCATGTTTTCATTTGTTGGCTATTGTTTTCAGCCAGGTTTTTTTTCTGGCTGTTGTTCCAGGTATTAGATTTCCCTCTTTGTGTGGTGCGGAAAATGTTACAATTTCATTTTCATGGTCTGCAGGAGGCGGCGGTGGCGTTGGCTGCCTGCACACAAGCAATGAGTGCAAATTATCTGCTTGAAGTGGCCGGCCTAGGTTTTTTTCTTCGATGAACGAGCCAAGCCATACAACCATTCATCCATGTGTTGCCATTGTTGTTCGATTGTGTTGCATGGTAACCGGCATGGGTTCGGACCACCACAACAATATGAATAAGAGCTGGATATTATGTAGGCTGTTGTTGGTGTTGTTGTTTGGCATCAGGTATGTTTTGTGTGAGTCCCAGGCCCTGAGTACCTCAAAAGTGTGTGTACTTCAGGTTATGATTTCTAACATAACCTACAAAAGGATACCGGCAATTCTATTGGCATAAATAGTCATGTATATCTCTATGTGTGTTTGAATGTGTGCAAATACTCATATCCTTGCTACTTCAGCCTGAAATATCTTTGTATGCCAAATCCCAAAGAACTTCCCTCTCTCCACCTCTCCCTCTCTCTTTCCTTCCTTGTCGATGAGTATTCATTATTTGTCGTAGCTCATTAAGCTACTGGGTAAACATTAATGTCTTCTCTGCATGATTGAGATCCTTTGTCTGGGGTCACAGGATATATATGTTTGCTTAACACAAATATTGCCTGACATCTCCTTGGCCAGGATAATTAATACAACAAAGGGTCAATGCTCGAATCAGTCGAGTCGAGTACCTGGTTGACAGTTTAAAATTAAATTAAACGTAATATAGGCAAATAAAAATTTAAGAAGGACGATTTTTAGGTGAAACATTTAGAAGGCATGGGACAGGAACTTTCCCAAGGAAAAAGTCCATTAGAGAGTTACTTTTACATTAGAGATTAAATTTTCTCTTAGCAGAGGATAGTTATATAAGGACGAATTTTTCATTTGCAACAATTTAGACCACAGAAAATTCAATGAGCGAAACATTTTCCCATGAAAATTTTCATCAAGGATCGATTTTCCCCTTGGAAATTTCTTTTCTCAAGGATAAAAGGATAATAAACACTTTTAACAGAAAATTCGATTATAAAACAAGTAAACTAGCTGTAAGTTGGCCTGGCCGAACATTGAATAACCTCCACCATTTAGAACGAATTTGACAAAATTTCAAAAAAAAAATCCGTTAAAAAATCTGTTAAAATTTTAAAAATACCGAATATCGGGAAGTTCCTTTACATGGGAACTATACGAAGTCGTGGACCTGCACAGACAATTTTTTGTCTTAAAATGTAGTATCCCTTACGAACTTCAAATACCAAATTTAAAGCAATTCCGGCGAAAAATGTCGCTTGAATCGCCAAAATACCGAAAATAGGGAGGTGCCTTTATATGGGGGCTATACCAAAACGTGGACCTGCACAGACAATTTTCTGTCTTAGGATGTAGTATCCATTGCGAACTTCAAATACCAAATTTGAATCAATTCCGGTGAATAATGTCGCTAAAATCATCAAAATACCGAATATCGGGAGGTGCCTTTATATGGAGGCTATATGAAGTCGTGGACCTGCACAGACAATTTTCTATCATAGGCTGTAGTATCCATTACGAACTTCAAATACCAAATTTGAACAAATTCCGGTAAATAATATCGCTTAAATCATCAAAATACCGAATATCGGGAGGTGCTTTTATATGGGGGCTATACGAAGACGTGGACCTGCACAGACAATTTTCTGTCTTAGGATGTAGTATCCCTTACGAACTTCAAATACCAAATTTGAAGCAATTCCGGTGAATAATGTCGCTGAAATCATCAAAATACCGAGTATCGGGAGGTGACTTTATATGGGGGCTATATGAAGACGTGAAACTGCACGGATAATTTTCTGTCATAGGCTGTAGTATCCATTACGCACTTCAAATACCAAATTTGAAACAATTCCGGTTAATAATGTCGATGAAATCATCAAAATACCGAATATCGGGAGGTACCGTTATATGGGGGCTATACGAAGACGTGGACCTGCACAGACAATTTTCTGTCATAGGCTGTAGTATCAATTAAGAACCTCTAATACCAAATTTGAAACAATTCCGGTTATTAATGTCGCTAAAATCACCAAAATACCGAAAATAGGGAGGTGCCGTTATATGGGGGCTATACCAAAACGTGGACCTGCACGAACAATTTTCTGTCATAGGCTGTAGTATCCATTACGAACTTCAAATACTAAATTTGAAACAATTCCGGTGAATAATGTCTCTAAAATCATCAAAATACAGAATATCGGGAGGTGCCTTTACATGGAGGCTATATGAAAACGTGGACCTGCACAGACTGTAGTATCCATTACGAACTTCAAATACCAAATCTGAAACAATTCCGGTGAATAATGTCGTTTGAATCACCAAAATATCCAATATCGGGAGGTACCGTTATATGGGGGCTATATCACAACGTAGACCTACATGGCCCATTTTCATTACCAAAAGTCCTGCAGACATAATATACATTTGAGTAAAATTTTATGAACCTATTTCATTTCCTTCGAAAGCTACAGTGGTTTTCACAGACGGACGGACGGACATCGTTAAATCGACATAGAATATTATGCTGATCAAGAATACAGGGTGAGATCAAAAAACTGCAACAAAGTCAAACGCCATAATTTCCAAGCAAAAAATGTCGGAAATAGCTTTAAATTTTAGAATAAGTTTAGATTTATTCAAATTGTTCACCTTTGGCACGAATTATGGCCTTCAAACGAATAATGAAACCGTCACACACTGTCCGAATGGTGCTCTGCGGTATTTTAGCCCATTCCCGGAGAAGCGCTTGTTTGAGGTGATCGACAATTTGGTATTTTTAAATGCCAAAATACTCCAGAAACAATAGTCCAACGGATTGGGGTCCGGAGATTTTGGTGGCCATTGTGCGCTGGAAATTAAGCGAGGAACATCTTGGGAGACGCGTGCTGAGTCTTGTTGGGATTGGACATGTCTGCGGTCAAAATGTTTGCGTGCCCAAGGCTTTAATACACCCTCCAGAATATTTTCGCGATAATATTCGGAATTTATTCTGACACCACGGTCGATAAGTACGAGCAGAGAGCGACCATTGGCTGTTATGGCGGCAAACACCATCACCATGGCCGGCGCTTGAGATCTGGTGGCCAACCGAAAGTGCACATTTTCAGCTGAACTCCTTGGCAAGTAAACACAGGCGGATCATTTTGTTTGTTTACAAACTGCTGGACAACGAATGTTTTCTCATCGGAGAAAACCAAATTCGACAGTTCTCCACTTTCGGATAAGCGAAGCTCGGGCTTTACCCCGAGCTCATTTTTTCAATATTTGCCGAATAGAATATTGCGATATGTTCAGCTCAGCTGCCATTTTTCATCAATCAAGTCGCTTCTTTACTTTTCGAACCATTTCTGCTGATGTTGTCTCACCCTGTATATACTTTAGGGGGTCTCAATTGTATATTTCGAGGTGTTACAAACGGAATTACAAACTTATTACACCCTCCATACTATGGTGGAGGGTATAAAAAATTCTAAGGGAAAATATCAGCAGAGATTTCTTTTCTCCTTAGGGATGACTTTTAAAAAGGACGAATTTTCCTCATGAAAAATTTTAGCCTAAGAAAATTTAATAAGAGATTAATTCTTCCATGGAATGTTTCCCCTCTTGGAGATGATTTTCGTCACAGGAAAATTCGTTAAATAAAGCTTTTCGTCCCGAAAAAATTAATGGAAAACAACTTTTCCAACACAAAATACCACTGGAGATTATTTTTTCCTTAAGGAAATTTAACCCAAAGGTACTTTTCCCAGGTCCCAGAGAAAATATCATCCGATCTGACAGTTCTTTAACACAAGTTATTTGATGTAACTTTTTCTTTAAAAAAACTCAAGTTCATCGTTGTTATCACTTGTGTATTTATCACATTGATACCTGCTATATTTCATCTCTTGGCCTCCAAGGACAATTTTCTTTTTTTTTTCTTTCCCGGAAAACCACTTGTCTCCTCTCTTCAGACACATAAATCAGCTTTATCGAATCTACGTAAAATTGGCCTGCCTGCCAATTTCCATGCAATATTTATTCAAATGTTAACAACTTTTCTTAAATCTCTCTACGAGTGAGGCTCTTAGGGCGGCCTTTGGGTATGTACGAGTGTGTGTGTGCGTCTGTGTGTGCGAAAATTGAATAAAATTGCCATGCTTGTAAAAGGAACCACTTCATGTTTGTATTTTGGCCAAAGATATCCTCTTGAGATGTTTTTTTTTTCTCTCTTCAAATCAATAAATAGAAAAAGTACTTAAATATTCATTCAAACATTGTCAGGGATTTCTTTGCTGATAGTCCTTGTTGGATGTGTGTGTATGTGTTTGGATACCCGGTTTATGCGTACGTCCTCTAACAAATCCTTTGAACCTTTTGTTATTATTGTCAAAGTGAAAGGACAACAATGTATGGCATTGTTGCGGTCCTGTTTGGGAATTAGACAACAAATAAACTGTGGAAAATAACCATGGAACTGTAACAAATATAGGAATACAAAGAGAGTGAGATAAAAATACAAATTGTAAGAAAAACCTTTAAATGAAAGCTTCTCCCACAGAAAAGTTCATCGGAGAGATGCATTTTTCTCTATAGAAAAGTTCATCGGGGATGAAGAATTTTTCCATAGAAAAGATAATCGGAGATGAAGTTTTCCATAGCAAAGTTCATCGGAGAGATGAATTTTTCTCTATAGAAAAATTCATCGGAGAGATGAATTTTTCTCTATTGAAAAGTTCATCGGAGAGATGAATTTTTCTCTATAGAAAAGTTCATCGGAGAGATGAATTTTTCTCTATTGAAAAGTTCATCGGAGAGATGAATTTTTCTCTATAGAAAAGTTCATCGGAGAGATGAATTTTTTCCATAGAAAAAGTTCATCGAAGAGATGAATTTTTTCCATAGAAAAAGTTCATCGGAGAGATGAATTTTTCTCCATAGAAAAGTTCATCGGAGATGAATTTTTCTTTAGAAAAGTTCATCGGAGATGAATTTTTCTTTAGAAAAGTTCATCGGAGATGAATTTTTCTTTAGAAAAGTTCATCGGAGATGTATTTTTCTTTAGAAAAGTTCATCGGAGATGTATTTTTCTTTAGAAAAGTTCATCGTAGATGAATTTTTCTTTAGAAAAGTTCATCGGAGATGAATTTTTCTTTAGAAAAGTTCATCGGGGATGAATTTTTCTTTAGAAAAGTTCATCGGGGATGACTTTTTCTTCAAATAAGTTCATCGGAGATGAATTTTTCTTTCTATAAGTTCATCGCAGATGAATTTTTCTTTAGATAAGTTCATCGTTGATTTTATTTTTTCCCTTACTGTTTTTTCTCCTTCGCATCTCTGTCTTATTATTTCTTTACTTTCCTATCCTTTATTAAATTAGTTTGCGAACCACTTACCTTGTTGACTGGCCAAAATTAGCAGGACAGTTAATAATTTTAAATCCTTTACTGTGTTAATGAGATCCATGATGAAATATGTTGATGACCCAACTTCTTCTTCTCCTCTTGGTTCCTTCTCTCTTTCCCCTTTTTTTCTCTATGTCCTTTGAAGTATCCAATTAGTTAATTGATAACTGACAACAGACCGTCTAGCAGACTGTGTTGAATGAAGCAATGAATGCCACCAGGAGTAGCAGTTTACTTTGTCTCTTCTGGTGCAGTTGCTTTTTAAGAAAATCTTTTCATTTTCCTGGACTCTTTTAAGTTATTTTTTGGCAAGACTTTTCTTGTTGTTTTTATGCAAACTATTATTGTTTTTGTATTTGTTTAATGCCTTCTTAAGTGTTCTCTTTTTGTATGGAAGAGTCCTCCTCTTTGTGTTTGTTCTCTTGATTCTCTTTTTTTTTGTTCCCCGGTAAAGAGTCGTACCGTTTGGTGATTTATTTGAGTTTAACAAACGGTAAAATAATGATGAGAAGGATGCTGCTGCTGCTGTCTGTCTCTCTCTGTGTGTGTGTCAGAGTATTTGTCTCTTGTGTGTGTTTCTCTTTCAATATTTGGCCAATGGTTAAGGCATTCGAGGGCAAGGAAGACGTTGATTTACAAAAAACATTTGCTTCTTGGCAGGTAAATTAAAGTTGGAAAACAATCTGGAAGATATGGGGAGAGTGTGGTTCGTTGGTTGGTTGTCTGGGTCTTTGGTTTGTATCCACAATGCAGTGCGCAGAATGTTTGTCTGTCTGATGGGCTGACGGTGTTATAAATCACAGGCATAAAACACGACGAAACGTGCACCGCCACAACAACAACTACAAATAGGTTGTGCGGCAAATGAGTTGGTTGGGATGTTATTCTTTTGTTGTTTTTACTGTTATTACTCAGTTAATTTGTATATTGACTTTATTTGTCTGCCGTGGCCATGGACTTGCCTCACTCAGCTACAGGGAAATTTGGATAAAGTGAAGTTCATTTGTGGTGATTGTCAAATGCATTCATGCATGTGAGAGATGGGTTTTCAGTTTGCTTTGGTTAAACATGAATGCTCACGTTTAAACACACATATCTACAAAAAAATAACAGCAACACCAACAACAACGATGATGGTGATATGTTGTTATTTGTTTTCACTTAATATTAATTGATATTTGGATAGTTATAAAAAAAATGGACAGAACCCACGAAGAAGGCGAAGTTTTCTTTTATTTCCAATGTTTGTCTGGGTGTTCTCTATTTTCTTTTTGTTTTTATCTCAACGTAATGTTTTCCTTTATTTGTTGTTTTCTTCGTTTTTTTTTTCACCTTTTTTATGGTTGACAAGCGTCTGTCGTCTATCACGTTTAGCAGTTTAACTTCAAAGTAAAGGTAAATTCTTAATCAAACACCCATTGAGGGGTCTCATTATCAACGCCAATGGCGGCATTAATTTTATGCTCACGTACACACAAACATTTATTGTTATTGGTTTGTTGATGCGTTGCACCTTTTATTAAAATGCATTTAATATTTGGTTTATGGTTTCACACACTTGCACTCACTAAGTCACTTGAAAAAATTTATTTTTTTTTCTATTAAATATTTCTTATTTATTTATTTTTTTTAAATTTTTATTCTTCATATATTTCATTTCTTTATTGGCTCTTGTTTTTATTTCATTTCAACTCTGTGCTCGAGTTTTCCGTATCCGCTTTAAGCAACCGTTTCCGTGAGCCGACTGAAAAAAACTGAAGCACAACAAGCGAAGCCAAACTGCATAAACTCTACGAACCCACTTTCTCCACACAACATGGAGTTGCACACACCGGGAACTCTCATTGAATGGCTCTCACGAACAGACACACACACACTCGGTGTCTCTCTCCCATCTCAAAACAAAGGCAACGCAAGGAGACAAGCAAACAATAAAAAGCCGGTTTGAATAAAAACAAAGCACACGCAATAAGGGAGAGAGGCTACCCTAATAACACACACACACAGAGAGAGCAAGAAAAATCCAGTAATAACTCTCTGTCCCATACAACTAATAAACACTGTGTAACAACGGCCCGCGTAATGATGCCTTTAACTCCAATAAGATTTTTCTTTGCCATACAATTGCAATGCATTATTCCGAAGAGAAAGACTTCGCTCTCTCTCTCCCTATATTTCTCCCAACTGCATTTTTATGTTATTTTTATTTTTATAAAAATTTTATGCATTTGACTTTTACGAGCCTCTAATAAAATCGTATTTTCTGTTGTGTTTTTTTTCTTTTTAATTTGTTTACGAAAACCGCTAAAACGAACAAAACCATAACATAACACATTGAGTTCTCATTTTAATGGCTTTGTTGCTGGATCGTTGGCATGTTTTTGGATTTTGTTGCTTGGCAAGTGCTTTTGTGATCTGCTTTTTTTTCTCGGTCTTTTTGTGACTTCCGAAATTATAAACAACCGCATCTAGAATAAATAAATAGAAAAAGAAATAAAATCTGAAATAAATCGTACCAAATTACACGAAAGCCGCACAGACATGCAAACACACACAGAGGCGGAGATGGTGGGATGGGAATATCTCCGATGAAATTTACAAAAGAAAAACTCATCTCCGATGAACTTTTCTAAAGAAAAACTCATCTCCGATGAACTTTTCTAAAGAAAAACTCATCTCCGATGAACTTTTCTAAAGAAAAATTCATCTCCGATGAACTTTTCTAAAGAAAAATTCATCTCCGATGAACTTTTCTAAAGAAAAATTCATCTCCGATGAACTTTTCTAAAGAAACATTCATCTCCGATGAACTTTTCTAAAGAAAAATTCATCCCTGATGAACTTTTCTATGGAGAAAAATTCATCACCGATGAACTTTTCTATGGAGAAAAATTCATCCCCGATGAACTTTTCTAAAGAAAAATTCATCTCCGATGAACTTTTCTAAAGAAAAATTCATCTCCGATGAACTTTTCTAAAGAAAAATTCATCTCTCCGATGAACTTTTCAAAAGAAAAATTCATCTCCGATGAACTTTTCTAAAGAAAAATTCATCCCCGATGAACTTTTCTAAAGAAAAATTCATCCCCGATGAACTTTTCTAAAGAAAAATTCATCCCCGATGAACTTTTCTAAAGAAAAATTCATCCCCGATGAACTTTTCTAGAGAAAAATTCATCCCCAATGAAATTTTCTACAGAAAAATTCATCCCCGATGAACTTTTCTAAAGAAAAATTCATCCCCGATGAACTTTTCTAAAGAAAAATTCATCTCCGATGAACTTTTCTAAAGAAAAATTCATCTCCGATGAACTTTTCTAAAGAAAAATTCATCTCCGATGAACTTTTCTAAAGAAAAATTCATCTCCGACGAACTTTTCTAAAGAAAATTCATCTCCGACGAACTTTTCTAAAGAAAAATTCATCTCCGATGAACTTTTCTAAAAAAAGTAATCTACGATGAACTTTTCTAAGGAAACATTCATCTCCGATGAACTTTTCTAAGAAAACATTCATCTCCGATGAACTTTTCTAAGAAAACATTCATCTCCGATGAACTTTTCTAAAGAAATATTCATTTACGATGAACTTTCCTAAAGAAAAATTCATCTCCGATGAACTTTTCAGTAGAAAAAGTCACATCCGATGAACTTTTTCTTTTCCATATGGAAAAAAGAACGCCCCCTTCTTAGCCCAGCTCCTGAATTTCCCTTTTAATGTCGACCGACACCAGCAACATTTTGTTGTATTTTATGAGCTGTTTTTGTTTTTTTTTTCGTGTTGTTATTATTATGTATTTTATTTCATGGCTTATTTTGTATTGCGGGTGGCTCTACAGATGATGATGATGATGACGATCTTCATCATCATCGTCATTTATTTGATCTTGTAACACAACACATTTGCTTGCACTCAGACACACACTCTCTCTCCCTTTACTCTCCTCTCCCATGTTGCAGAGCAAATCAAAGTCATCGTCATCATGCAAAGAACGTCCCAGCTACTAATTAAATGACTACATTTGCATTCTTCACACACATCGTTTACATTGTTGTTGCTGTTCTTGTTTTGGTTTGATTTTTTTTCGTCTTCTCGCAGGAACAGCGATTTATTCTTTGATGTTTGGACACATTTCTTGCTCTTGTTTCAAAGTGGGAAGGGGCGAGGAGGAGCAGTGAAATAGTGGCACTGCATTTTAGTGCCAATGTCTTGCCGTTGGGAGCCTGGTGGCAATGACGAAAACGACCAATGAACGAAAGAACCAAACCGTAGCAACCGACCGTGAGGCTGTGTGGAGATGATGGCTGGGCTGACGTTGGAGATGGAGATGGAGAGGCTGCCGCTGCATTTGAATGGTAATTTGTATTTTTATTGCACTTTTATTGAAGTTCAGGAGTCAATGATCGTCTGCCGGTGCTGCTGGGGCTGTGGATCCATCCACATGTACATATCTCTCTGTGTGTATGTGTCTCATTCTCCATACATATCAAAGAAACAGGAATGCCTGCCATTGATTTTATTGCCTCGAATGTGTGTGCAGAGAGTCTTTGTAGCTGCAAGCTTCTTATTTTTGGTTTTCTAGCCGGGAAAGAAATAAAAATTAAATGCCCATGTCCATAAAACAAGCAACTAATTTGATTTCTCTCCCCGCTCTTCTCCCTCTCTCCCTCTCTCGGCCACTCGTTGCTGTATTTTATTGTTTTGTTTAGTCTATTGTGGTTGCTGTTGTTGCTGCTGTTATTTTATGAGGAGAGATTTTGAATTGCCTCCTTTTCCTTTTTTAATAAATTGCATCTTTCATTTGTGCACTTTAGCTGGTTGTTTACATTCGGGCGAACATCTAACGGATTTCGTCAAGAAGCTGTCGAGACAATTTATTGACTGAACTTTTCAAAAGGAAAAACAAAACAACAAGTCATCAGAGGAATGAGGCTTTTTTAGGGGTTCTATAGAAAAGAACGGAGCTCCCGCATGGGATAAGCGGGGTTTTAGAGGACATATATTAGAGACCATGACAAAAATCGTACCCGCGATAAACTTTTTTTTTTTTTGAAAAATTTGAAGAGAACCGATTGCTTATTTTGGTTTTTATGACAGTTTTGGTTATTTAAAATGTTGACCCTTTGTGGGGGAAGGTACCAGAAGAAATGGTCCGATCTCTACCATCTTCACAACAAGTCCGAATGAAAATCGGATGTTATTTTCGCGTTTTATGACTTTCACGAGTATTCAAATTTTTGACCCTTTGTGGGGCAGGTACCAGAAGGGGTAGTCCGATATATCCCATTTTCACATCAGATCTTGGATTAATAAAAATATTGTGATGTGTGTAATTTGAAGAGAACCGGATGCTTATTTCGGATTTTATGATCGCTTTGGTTATTCAAAATTTTGACCCTTTGTTGGGGAGGCACCAGAAGGAATGATTCGTTCTCTACCATATTTATAACAGTTCTTGTGTGGACGGCAATATTGAGATGTGCCAAATCTGAATGGAATCGGATGGTTATTTCGAATTTTATGATCGTTTTGGTTATTCAAAAATTTGACCATTTGTAGGGGAGGTTCAAGAAGGAGTGGATCGATATATCCCATCTTCACACCAGACCTTGGGTGAATGAAAATATTGTGATGTGTGTAATTTGAAGAGAACTGGATGCTTATTTTGGAATTTATGATCGTTTTGGTAATTCAAAATTTCGACCCTTTGTGGAGGAGGTACCAGATGGAGAGGGCCAATGTATCCCATCTTTACACCAGACCTTGGGTTAATGCAAATATTGGGATGTGTGGAAATTTGAAGACAATCAAAGTTTTTAGGTAGGGGAGGTACTCGATGGAGTTGACCGATATTGTCCATGTTCGCACCTGACCTAACACTGATGCAAATATTAGGGTAATCAAAGTTTGAGCAAAATCGGATTATCCATTCTCTTTCTGAACAGCAAATTATCAAATTTGAAGTACTTGCTTCTAGGACAAATTCGGTCGGATATGCCGAAAGGCATTTTCTGTTGGCGAATATTACAAATATGGCGTCCAATCAAATTGAAATCGGACGTAGATATAAATGGGAGTTATATCTTAATTTAGACCGGACAATAAATGCGACCTGTACTTTGTCGGATGGACATGCTTATACCAGATTGGATATACGGTAGCTATACCCAAATCCGAACCAATCTTGAAAAACATTTGACAGAGGTATTTCTGGTCTGTATCTGATACCAAATATCATGTTTGTGGAGTTCATATTTCAACTGTGACGACTGTCCGAACCAAATATGGAGGAATACTTCTGATGGATCTAATAGTTCTTAAAAAGAGGACTTCTGTACCTAGAGGCCATAAGAAAGGTCTGGTTAAAATATAATTCCTCTGATGGGTCTTCCTTGACTATATGACTTCTCTTATGCCTCTCTTTAAATAAAAGACTCTTCACTTTTTCTCATCATCTCATCTCTCGCCCTCTTCCTCTAAGTCACAAATGCTCTCAAATTACATTGGTAGCGGTAAGAGACTCCTAATAAAGGGCAATTAAAATTTGAGAGAGAATATGTATGGTTTGTCGTCACGGCAACTTAGAAAGGAA